TTATAGGCTTTATAAACTTTAAGTTTTGTAAAAGTTAGTAGCGGATTAAGAGGCCTCTTTACGAGTCAGAGCCTAAAAATGATTGAAATAATAAAAAAAAGGTCCTCTAAAATTTTTGGGGCCCCTAAATTTGCGGGTCATGGGGCTATAGCCCTCCCCCTCTAGCCCCCTCCCCCCTTGATCTAGCACTGGTAATAGTTTATACATATATATTAGTAGTGTATAACGGGCTTACTTTCAAACATAAAATTGTTGTAATTTTTTTAACGAAAATTAATTTGAAACTTTATAAACTGGAGTGTATTAGATTGCAATAATATATTTTATAACAATTTTAGTTTTTTTTTAATGTATTACATAATATACACTAAACTAAATTATTTATAGCACTTTTAGCAATATTAAACATGTAAATAATGTTATTCATATAAGATCAAAGCGCATAAGTCGGAGAACATAGTAGCCTACTGCATGGGGTATACTGATCTTTTGTAAGGTTTGTAGTACGTTGAAATATACCATGTTCATCAAATTTTTATTAAAATATTCATGTATACTTTAAGATAGATTGTTCAAGTTTAGTTTTGTAGTTTATAAGTTTTTATATCTATATCGGGTTGTTCGCAGTTTACAAAATACAGCTGCGCCAATCAATGCGTCTCCCCTCTTAAAAATATCCGTCTTCCCTATTAGAAAATCATTTAAAATATTTAAAACCTGCAAAAACCGAGTACTCCAGCAGCAAGTGGTTTTGACATTAACTCATAAACTGTAATTTTGTTTTTTGAAATAGGCAAAGGCATGTCTGCAATTAATAGGGTTTTTGGATTCATGAACACAATTCCACCAATCAGCAACTTTTCATCACACAAAAAATGAAATCGCTAAGAATCATGTATTCTTTCCTGATGTTAAGATGAAAAAACAGCAGTTGAACTAAAATAGATGACTAAGGTTTCATGTTGATGTACCGGGTGATACACCATAGATGATACAGAATATAGATTTATTGTTGCTAAATGAATTTATATTCTTTATTTAATTCCATATTTAAGGTAAATGCATTAATTATAGTATTAAGACCAAGCAATATACCAAGTGTATCGCTTGAGAGATTAAAATAGATTTCTATAAATACTCTGCTTTTATCATATTATAGATTTGACATAAATTATGAAGGGTTATCCGAAGCAATGGAGTTTAGCGCATTAGTTTATTTGTTTTGTACGTCAGAACGGCTTTAAAGCTAAACATCTTGGTGGTGGAGGTACAAATAATCATAATGTTGTTGTCATCGATTCATATGGCATACTATTAAAAAAGCTTTTAATATATACTATTATTTAGATTTTACTATATATATATATACTATTTTTTTTTCGAGAATGAACTTTTTTCAAACTGGTACAGCTCATAACTTCAAAATACTGATCCAAGTTAATTAATATTTTGAGGAAATGTTTTTATTAGATAAAGAATGTCTAAAATTAACATTGTGCTAATTTGATGATCAGAACCTTTTTAAATATTATCAAGGCTAAACATTTTTTTGTCTAAATTTTATGATTTTAGTAATTTACTTATGAAACTTGATGTATTTAACATATTTTTCTGATATTTATTCCAGACATAGACGATTTGTTTGTTATAAACCACTAGAAAAATTATGAAACAGAACTGTTATATAATTTTTGTTTCAATTCGCAGTCTTTTCAATAATTTTCCATATTTCTGGTCCAAATAGAGTCCAAATAGGGTGTCTAGATAAAAAATTATTTATTTCTGTGTGACCTCCTATCAGAATATATAACATGGTTATACTTATATAGGAAAGAGAAAAATTTAGTACTAATATTGTAAGGCCACTATAAACAATATACATATATATATATATATATATATATATATATATATATATATATATATATATATATATATATATATATATATATATATATATATATATATATATATATATATATATATATATATATATATATTTTTTTTTTTTTTTTTTTTTTCGTATTAAGAATAAGGTAAAGGGTCCAGTGTTCACCACTTTTTTGGACTTAGTCCGATAGAAATGTTTATTTCTCGCTCGTATTTTCATAAATTATAAATCTTTTAGTCTTAGCCTATAAATCAAGAGTTGGTCTTTCGATGCTCATAGAATAAATGACCTCCGATAATAAAACGGGGCTATAGCAGTCCAAAGAGCCAAATTGCGACTACTAGTAAGAAACATGTGTTTGCCATCTGCGAAATTTTTAATTTTGCCAAAATCAATTTTTTTTTTTTTAAATATTTATTTCTCTTTTTGATAAAGATTTATTTTCAAGTCAATATTTTTGTAAAACGATCAAAGTTTTATATACATTTTTTTCACTTTAGTTATAAATTAAACTAAAAATGTGCGGTCATATAAATGCGTAGAATTTAAAAAAAAATTGAGAAAATGGCGCGAACTTCCTTCAAATGCTTATCCACGGTCAATGCCTGCCAACTCCCAATAAATATATGTAATTTTATCCGCAAAGCATTGTGGGATGTCTTGCGGGACCAAGTAATCATAAACAACGCAACTCTTAGTGAAATATTTATACCTTAGCATTATTCTTACCAGAGGGCTTCCCATTAAAAAACTTTTCTTTTATAAATTAAAATAATTTTGAAACTATTTCATAACATTGCTTATATAACATTTATATATCATCAAACATTAATATGTTAACATTAATGACGCAGTTGTAAATTTGATGTAAATTTAGCATGTTTTGCATAAGTCATTTTAATCATGTTATCACTGTATTCGTTTCATATTATTTTAAATAAATACTCCATATTAGTTTAAATATATACCCCTTAATTAGATGCTAAATATATAGTTAATAATGCTGAGAGAAAAAACAACAATAATAAATAAGAAATATATTGTTTCAAGAATTATCATTAAAATAAAATTAAGCATGGATAATGCGAGCTAACTTGTTTTTACATGTCTTGTTTCGTGGTGCCAGATCACGATTATAAAACCTTATATAATAAGTTATTCTCATATAAACATAGTGTCTGATTAAACTTTCTTCTAAATGAAAAGCATGATCAATATGTTCATCATAAAGAAATGTAAAATTGCAATCGTTTTTTATTACTTTAATAATTTGTTGTATAATATTTTTTTTAGTTAATATAAGTTTCATTTGGGTTATAAAAACAGTTTCCATTTTGTGAAGTAGGTTTTGTAAAAAAGAATCAGAATTAAATAAGTTACTTTCACAGGGTGGCACACTTGAAAGAACTTGTACACATTTTTGACAGACTTGAACTTTCTTTATCAAATCATCTGCAATTAATTTCAAAACCTGTTTAATTGACTGTGAAACTGAATCAGTCGAAACAGTTTGTAATGTGTAAGGCTTTTGTTTCTTTTTACATAATGCAGTTGGATGTTTGAAAATCAATTGTTCATTTGCAGAAATTTGATTCTCAAATACTATATTGGTGATTGAGTCAATGGTAACTGCAGCTGAGAAATCTGATTCAGGGAGACAATTACTGTTAGAGTTAGATTGTTCTATTGAAAGGAGTACTAAGACATTTTTATATGCTGATTTAAACTGCATTGCTGTTGGTCTGTCATTCCAGCCTCCTTTGCTTCGTATTAATGCAAAAAAAATTTCACAGCTCAATTTAATCAGTCCTGTTTAAATTGAGTTGTGCAAACATAAAAAAAATCCTCATGAAGCAACTCGTTTACAAGACAAAGAATATTAGAAATAGTGACATATATAACAGTAAACATATAAATAGTAAACCCCAATGACTGGATATACTTTTTTGGCTGCGAGCACCAGAAAAATGCCAACCCTTAATCCAAACTCTTAAATCTTTAAGCTTTTGTATAAAACTACTATTTAGAGTTAAAGCAGAGCGTGTTGATTTATCTGCTTTTAGTTTCCGAGAGTTCAAGATATCAAATAAAATATCTATATTTTTAATAAAAAAGGCTGTTGAGAAAACATTTTTAGGCAATAGTTTTGCAGAAGCGTATTCAGTCAAAGCAGTAGTAACTTGACTACTAAAAATTTGTGTTGCCAATTTTACTCGCATAGCTAATAGTGATCCTGGATCTAAATGACGATCTGTCAACTTTGGCACAAGTCGCACAGCATTAACTTTGTCTAAATTATAAAGTTCTTCCAGATGCTTCCACGATATTATTTTACCATCAGATAAAATGTCATGTTTTATTAAATTGTTTCTAACATTTTTTATAAGATGTGGTGGATCAAATATTATATAAACTTTTGCTTGTGTAGTTGGATGTGAAATTTGTTGATTTAATAATGAAAATCCTAAAAATTTGAGAGCTCTTATATTACTCGAGCTTTGATCACAAACAAGACATCTTACAGCTAAACCTATTTTATGTAGATGAATCATGGCATTATTTATTATCTTAGCTAAATTGGTTGAACACATAGTAGTATTACTGTAAAAATATGCAATTGGTTGTTTCCATTTTGTTGATAATCCACGGAGTTGATAATCCACAAGTACTTGGTTTACTGGTTTACCATTAGATTGAATCCCAATGATCGTATCATTGTTTTTGTCATAATCAAGATGTTGCTTTAAAGACATTTCATCAAAAACAAGGCTACAGTTTCGTTCCAATTTTTTCATGGTATTTACTCGCATTTTTAGTAAAGCAATAACCTTATTGGAAAAACCAGATTCAAGGGTCCCAAAAGATTTTTCAAGAAACATTAAAATAGTGATTGTAGAAGGTAACGAAAAAACTTTTCTAAACATTTTGAAAGCTTGTGGACTGCGATACATGATTCTTAAAGCTAAAATTTTATCTTCAATAGTCCAACGTTTTCCCTGTTTGATACGATTATTCATACGTAATTGACTTTCAAAAAATTGAAGTTGAGTATTTGTTAAATATTTTTTAGACAAATTAATAATATGTCGACAAATCTTAACTTGAGATGATAAATATTTATTTTTAAAGTAGTTTTGACAGTTACATTGTTTGTACTGCTATTCTCAACACTATTTATTTTATTTAATTTGACTTTATCGTTGATTTCTTTTTTTTTTTTTGTATTTTATCTTGTAAATGAAGTCTGTTTGTAGGCTGTTTTCTCTTTAAATTTTAGGTAGAAGGTTGATTTGGAAAGTTAAAAACTGTTGGTACAGCAGTTACAAGTGCTCTTTTACTACCATTATTGGCAAGATAGTATTGTGAAGAATCAAAATGTTCACTACAAATAGTATAGTTAAGATTAAGTTCTTCACATGATTTTGTATCGAGATCTTGACGACGACAATTACGAACCCAAAGCTTGCATCTAAATAATAGGTTAAACCTAATTAATTTAGTGGAATTATTTACATCATATTATGTATAAATATTTTTTGTTTCATAAAATTTAAAGTAAAACAATGTTTTAAAAGTTTCTTTAAATTCTTGATATACTGGTTATTTAATAAACTTGATTTGACTAATAATTACTTACCTATTTTTATCTTTTGGAAATCTAAAAAAAGATATATTATTTCCAACATTCTTTCCACGCTTGTTAACACAACTGATGGCTGAGCAAAAGGCTGGCATATTTAATATTGTATTTATAGAAAAAGCAACTTAATTTTTGAAAAGCAAAATCTAATAATATTAAAATATATAATATATATTTAGCAGACAACAGAGATGTATAGTAAATTTATGTTGTTTATAATATGGTCCCGCAAGACATCCCATAATTCAATGTACAATTACACATGAATATAAGGATTTTTAGTCGAGTTGGCAGGCTTTGTCCATGGTGCTCTGAGTGGTGCTCTGGTGCGATAAGATCGTTTTGGGTCAAATTTTTAACCAAAATTGAAAATAAATATTTTCTTAAGGAAGCAGAATCTTTAAAGATTTATTTATAATTTAGGATTTATTGATAAAGAAAAAAACTACGTAGGAGGAGATAATTTGAAAATGTATTTTTTAATTTTGTTAGTTTTCAATGTAGTTTTTCATACTTAAACACGGTCGTTTAGATTAAGGGTCTGCGTCTGCTCGTATTCTCTCGGAAGTTCGGTATGAAACGGTAAAAAATGTGAGTATTCGTTTCGTTCCGTTTTTACGAAACAAAAAATATCATTTTGTTTTGTATCGCATTTATACGAAACACGTAAATCTTGTTTCGTTTCGTATCATGTTGTTACGAAATGTGAAATTATTTTTTCGATTTGTACCGTTATTTACGAAACACAATAAAATTGTTTCGGTTCTTATCGGTTTTTACGGAATATTTCATAACTCCCCCCCAAACAGATATTTCACGATTCCCATGCCCTCGAGCAATACATAAACTTTTACGTTTAATACTTACTAACTCAATGTTTCGTAAATCAAAGTTTAACTAAAAAAATGTATTAACAAAGCAATGCAATAGCATCATTTTCATAAGGCTTAACGCATCTAACGAAGTTAAAAAAAGATATTGTCTTCTGTAGGTAGGTTTTAGTAAAACTGATGAACTTAAAGTTAAAATTTTATTACAGTAAAACGGTTTTACTCTAATAAAATTTTAACTTTAAGTTCATCAGACATAAATTATGTATTTGTTTATAAACTCGCATGAAGAGTTTGAAATCATTGTTTGAATTAAATACTTCAAATTATATTATATAACATTTTAAATGCGATATTGTTGTGTTAACTTGAAATATTTTGCAAAACTAATTAATTTATTGTTTAAAAACCATAGTAATTCTCAATCATATAATCATGCCTATAAAAGCTACAATTTTATGGAATTATTTCAATAAAGTTACTGTGTCAGGTGTTAAGTGTGGGGAATGTAAAAAGTGTCAAATCCAAATCAAGTTAACTGATGGATCCACTAGTGGTATCAGGTACCATTTGAAAACAAAGCATCCCACTGACTACGCTACGATGTTAAGAGCCCAAATTGAACTTGAGCGCCAAAGAGAAGAAGATATTAAAGAAATTACAGAAGCTGCCTTCAAACTGAATGACGCATACAGTAAGTTTCTAATTATTTTTCAAAAATAATGTTTTTCCTTGTATAAAGATAATTTTCATGTTTAACTTTAATTTATATTTCGTTTTTTTAGATCAACGATCACAAAAAGGCTTATCTAAATGTGTTAATGGGGGAACTATTGGGAAATATTCTTCCCAATCAGGCAGGCAATTGGAGACAGACATGGTAATCATGTCATACATTGCCAGGTCAAGTAGTCCATTCACTCTAGTAGATGAACCATGCTTCAAATAAATGGTGGAACATTTAAATCCAATAGTAATTGTGAAACATTCCTCGACTTTTTCAAGGTACAAGCTGCCATTGCTTTATGAAAGCGTTATGGATACTGTGCAAAACCTAATTGAAAAAGAAGTTTCCACTTGTCAACAGGTGGCTATCACCACTGATGGTTGGACCTCTAGGTCACAGGATCCATACATGACTCTTACGCTTCACTAAATCAATAGTCAGTTTGAACTGAAAAAATATGTTCTCAACTTTGACAATTTCGTGGGAAGACACACTGGTTACCACATTAGCAAAGTAATTTTTCTTATGTTGATATAATTTGTTCTCGTAAATATAAGTTTGTAAGTGCAAAAATAATTTAAAAAAGTAAAACTTATCCTTCCGCTAGAATAGCGTTTCTTCTAGGATTTTGTCAATTATTGAAAGAATTTATAATTTATTGTAAAACCTAAAAGCTGCATAAGTTATCTTATAAATCATTAATTTTTCTTCATTCTTGTTTAAGGCTCTGGAAGAAATTATCCAAAAATATCCGGTATTGGACGCCGTGCCCAAGAAAGTCATTGTCCACGATGCGGCGGCAAACATGAAACATGGTGTGTCAATCATGAACAAAACAAAATATGAATCACTGTTGTGTGCAGACCACCTACTAAACACTAACCTACTACATGCTACCAATGAAGTGCAAGAAGATAAAAGAATGCATAGATATTGCCACACAACTATCTAGCAAAGTCCACAGATCCACCTTAGCTTGTCAACTTATTGAAAAAGAGTGTATGTTGCTCCGTGTAAACTATGTTAAAATCATTGCTCCGGTAAAAACCAGGTGGAATTCTAACTGTTTTATGCTGGAGTCAATCCTTAAACTTAAAGATGTGTTGATTTCTCTTAGAGAAAAAGATGCACTAAATAACAACCCACTAAAGAACGTTATTCCTTGTGACAACCAATTTTCACTGATGGCTTCACTGATGCCAGTCTTAAAAAAAATGAAGATTATGTCAGATTGCATGTCCAAGGACACTAAACCAGTGCTTCATCATATGCTAACTATGCTTTATAAAACTGACAATTTTCTTCATGACCACATTGATATGGAAAACAGAGAAATAGTTAATGCTTTTTGTAAAAAACTAAGTGAGCATTTACGCCTAGCCACGCGATTCAATGAACATGGAAGATACAACCAACACTATGCCTTGGGAAACCTTCTTCATCCGTACTTTAGAGGTTATAAGTTTTATTTCTTGGTAAAAAAAACATTCTTTAATATTCTTTATTTGTTAAAAGACTAAATTTAACAGTTATTGTTTATGATTTCAGGATATATGCTTAGATATTACGGTATCTTCGAAGAGTTCACCAGAAAAGTCATTAACGATCATCCATTGTCGGACGCTGTTTCGATCAGTGAAAAAAATAATCATAAAGCTACACAAGTTAAAATGCCAGTTGGTGTGGATGAGTGCGACGATTTACAAAATATAGAGATTGAACAGGGTAATAATAACCACACCATTAGTCAAAATGTACCGGAAATTGAAAGGGAGTTTGAATCTTTCCACGCTATGCCTCGTGTTGAAGAAAAGCATAAAGTTGATGTGCTGAAATGGTGGAAGAAACATGCCTCTACTTTGACATTGTTAGCACAATTGGCAAGAAATTTGCTCTGCATTCCAGCTGCATCAAGCTGTAGTGAGAGAGTGTTCAGCGCCAGCGGTGGAACTATAAATGATAAAAGACACAGTCTTTCCACTCAACAGCAAAGCAGTTGACTTTGATTAAAGTCAATTATGATCTTGTCTGTCCTCACATGACCTTGAAAATTATAAGCGACGCTGAAGAAGCCCTGGACCCCCCAGCATTAACTCCAGTTAGAACACCTCCCAAAAATCCTATTCCTAAAGAAGTTTTTTCAAATAACCAAAAAAGGTTATTGTTCAAAACAAAAAACGTTTCAACAACGCCATTATGTTCTTCTTCTTTACCATCAACACCAACATCTTCAGGAATCAAAAGAAAAACAATGGAAATTCTAGAAGAGTCCGAATCAACATCATCCGAAAAAACATCCGAAAGTGACACTCAACAAGTATTAAAATAAAAATGTTTTACTTTTTATGGTGAAATTTTAAAATCGTGAAATATAATTGTCTAAATAAAAACTGATTTTTCGTAAAAATCGCAAATGTGTGCTTAAATTGGTACAATATAAAAGTAAATTACTTTTTTATTTTATGCTAGCCCTATCTGTCGTAAAAACATTAGTATTTCTCGTAAAACTTAGAAATTTCTTGTTTGTTTGTTTCGTTTTTTACCGTTTTATTTCGGAAAAAGTTTAATCTTATTTCGTTTCGTACCGGTTTTTTCAAAACAAAAAATGTGTCCCGTATTTATCACGAAACCAGAAAATTGTATTTCTTTTTGTACCGTATTTTGCGAAAAAAAGATAAAAATTGTTTCGTTTCGTAACGGTTTTATCGAAACGACATTTTTCATCGTTTTGTTTCGTTTCGTCTTGTACCGTTTTGAGACGCAGACCCTTAGTTTAGATATTGGAAAAAAGCGTTAAGTTTAGGTACGCATGCGCCAGTTGTTGGTTAAAAATCTAGAGCTTTTAAAATGGCTGCGGCTCTTAACTACGGAGTAAATGTTAGATAACAACCATTTAGTTGCATTTTTTGGTGTGCTGTTCAGTATTATTATCTTTTTTTTTTTTTAAGTCAACGAACAAGCGTCATATTTTTAATATTAGACATTTTAAATAAGTTTGAAAACAAATTAAGATGCATATAGTTGTATTTTTGTGAAAGCTATTTTGCTGTAGGAGAGCGACTTGTTTATTTTTTTGAAATAAATTTTCAGAATTTCTAACTGTACGAATTTGAAACTTTTTTCTTCAACTTCTGTAATGTTCTTTACTTTATAATTGATTATTTTTTGGTTCTTGCTTAAATTTAATTTTGGCAGAAAAATGTATTTTTATTGTTTGAGTAGTTTAGTGCTAAGTTTTTTTTCTTAAAACTTTGTTTTGGTGCCATTTACACTATCATGTTATAAAAATAATGATAAAAAAACAAAATTATTTTTTAATATTAAATTAGATAATAAAAAAGTAATGTTTACTTTACGTTGCATGTTTAGAAACTTTTAATTGCTAAAACAAAACATACACACATATAATATATGTGTGTATGTTTTGTTTTAGCAATGAAAAGTTTCTAAATACGTATAAAAACATCACTTTAAATGTTAAATAAGTAAAAAAACATTACTTTTCTATAAGCAAATTTAATATTAATAAATATTTTTATTTTTTCATCTTTATTCTTATAACACGATCGTTTAAAATGCACCAGAACAAATT